TCTTGGAAAAAAATCGATATTCATCCGCAAATATCGTAACATCCAACTGTCACCAGAGGCGCAAAAAGTGGGTATGCAGCGTATGCAACGCATAGGGGCGCAGCACCAGAGGGGGCGCCAAAACCCCGTCTGGAGGGGGCGACGCGCCGATTATGTTTTCTCATACAGTTCAGCGCGCCTCACGCTCCTTCACCTCTCGCACATAACGAGGTACATGTAGCGAGTTTTACACTCCACGTAGCGTCGGCCCTTCACCCTGAAGTTCCTTCCATCGGGGGGGGGCAATTTATGTTTTCGCATCCACCTGAATAATGTGCAGTTGCGCCACTGGTTGGTATTACTGATGAAGTATGGTTTGGGTTTCTGGGGCCCCGGCCCTCCGGCTCATTTCAAAGGGACCTGCCGTTTCATTTAGGCTGAAGGAAGGGAGTTTGTGCCTTTGTGGTTTTCACCAGGGATTTCAGTGTGAGTGTTTTGTTGGGGAGCAGCTGGGAGTGTCTAGTTATATTTGGGTTTCCTTATTTCCTCCCCAATCATTTTATTTAATTATTTTTCAGCTGTAAGGTTCCCAGGGCCAGCAGAGACTCCTGCGTTTTAATGTGGTTATTTTTGTATAATAAAATAAACTGACTATTTCCACCATAGAGCATCTCAACCAAATAAAATGTATCCAATTTGCAAGCAGCACCTCTGTTGATTCTAACTTATATGTGTGACGGTCTGTAAAGAGGATCCAAGGCTCTCCAGACATGAGAGCTGCACCAAGGTCACACCTGGAGTCCAGCAGCCGTTAGCCTGGTGGTGCCAGGTGTGTTTCTACAGGTGAGCGGCTGTAGCTCTATGGACGAACCAGAAAATACGTTTCATATCGTCCTGGTCCCAACAGATGTGTGGCGGAGCGCAGCTGGTAGACGAGTTTCTGTGACAAACGAAGGAGTCAAATCCTGCTAACATGAACACAAAGCTAAAAACGCCTGGGCAAGGTCAGAGTTTAAGCTGACTGGAGATGAACACATAGATGAAGCTGCAGTTTGGACTTTTTTATCTACAAATGCTTGGTGAGCCTGCCTCTTTATTAAGTTGAATATAATTTCAGATTTCTCTAGAACTTTTGTCCAGGTTAACTTAAAGTGAGCTTTTATTGTTGCAGATTAATTTTCTAGACTACAGAAAAGCAATAAGGAAGCTGAAATATGAGAAATGGGCCGATGTTGATATCCAATAGTAACACTGCTGTTATGGCAGCATTTATCTCATTTTATAATTTTTATTCGATTAATCATCAGAACAATTGATAGATTACTGGATCAGTAATTGTTACACCAGCCAATTTAGGGGTTTAGAGCCAAAACATGAAAAACTAAATCCTCGTTATCGTCCGCTGGTGGTTGCCATGGTTTCCATGGTTGCTTTTCTCCGTATCAGAATAGTGACGTTTGTTGTGCATTGATGACGTTCTGGTCGCATTCATCCGACCTGAACGAACAGAAAACATCGGATTATAAGAAGCTGATCTGTGTTGTCATGGAAACATCAGCTACAGGTCGCATTGAGGCAAAACTGAGGGACTGGCGTCCCTCCAGGCCGCAGTGTGAAGGTTGCCGGCGAGGCTCCGCCTACTTGTCTCGGACCGCCTGGATGGCCTCGGCGGCGCTCTCGTAGTTGTGCTTCTCCATGTGGCGGTACATGGTGCTCAGCTCCACCTGCCGCCGGAAGTAGATGTCCACCGAGCTCTGCTTCACCGTGGCGTAGATGAACTTATCCGATGGGTTACGCAGCTGGAAGCACATCAGCTGTTACCGCATGACATCATCGCCCCAACCGGCGAACGGAAGGCGGGCGCTCACCCTGGGGTCGTTGATGCCAGTGATGCGCTCCTCAGGCCGGTCCAGCACCAGGAAGGCTGCCAGGTTGGCGGTGTACGACGCCACGATGATCATAGCAAACCCCGCCCACACCATGCCCAGGATCCTGGCGGAGAAGCTCCGTGGGGCGCCTGCAGGGGGAGCAGTGACACGCTGTCAGCGCCGCGGGCGCCACAGGCGAGCAGAAACGCGAGCGTCGCTACCTTCTCCGATCCCCGAGTTCAGCAGAACTCCCCAGGAGAACCACATGGCGGAGGACAGGGTCAGGGCGTCTTCTTCTTCTTCTTCGCTGTTCACCTTAAACCTTCCAAACGGGCTGCAGACACACAGCAGGTCAAACAGGGTCAAACACGGCCAATCGGCCAATCGGAGTCAGCGCTGAGGTCACATGTTCAGACGATTAACTTCACTCTGAGCGTTCTGCGCAGATTCTAGTCTGAACATAAAAGCAGCAAACCTCTCAGAAAGCTAGGCTCCGCCCCCAGACGAATGAGTCAACGATGTGGGCGGAGCCTAGTACACTGAGGGGCGGGGCCAGGTGTGGGGACGAGCGCAGTCTGCTGCCAGCGTGTTTTCAAACCGACTTAAAAAATCCACCAGCGAGAGATTCAACTACTTTATTTGTTTTTACACACTTCAGTGGAAAGAGGGCAGCAGTGAGCCAGGTTCAGGCCAAACACTGCAGAATTAAACCAATTTACACAAAAATGCACAGAAACATAAGAAAACTGAAGGACCAACTGAGACTGTGTGCTTGGCAACACTTTGATTTGTCAAACTTCTGTACAGGCATTGTCTGTACTATTTTAAATTATCCTGCTTATTTCTTCATCTGAGGATGTAAATTTTTAACATCATCTTCAACACTATTCAGTATTTCTTTACGTGGTAAATTTGCCCCAGTTGTGCCGTCTCTGATTTATTACATTTTACCTTTGTGTCGTCTCCATCCCTCCGTTTGGCTGTTTTAGTAGGACAGAAAAGATTACTGTGTGGTAATATGACAACTGTACAGCTCCAGATTGGGGGCTTGTCCGGGATTTAAAGTCCGTTAGAAATTATTAGCATTTATGTGGATTAATTTTACAAGTTACAATTTTTTATTTAAACTTTTAAAGTTTAAGTTCTATTTGCTGTTTTTACAACTCCAAATAGAAAGAAAAAGAGATGCGAGGTTTACGGATTCTAGTGTGAGGTTCTGCTGATGTAACCGGACCGGACCAGAAACTCTGGGGTAGATTAAGAAGTTAAGCAGAAACAGAGCGGACCAGACCATGGGCCTCATGCATAAAGACTGCGCAGTTTTCACACTAAAACTTGGCGAACGGACAAATTTAGAAAAGTGCGGCGCACAAAAAAAAGGGATGCATAAAGCCGCAGGTGGCCGCGCACCTTTCCTTTATTAATCCTAATTTGCCTGTCGCCTCCATAAATACATAAGAATGTAAATTAGCATAAATACCCGGAAGTCTGCCGCCACGTGGGGCAGTAACCATGGCAACGGCCTGGTTTGTATGAGTATTTATAACAATAATAACTATATATTTTATTTAAAAGGTGCAGACACACCTGGATCACCTTAAATAATCAAACCTGTTGATTAGTTTTACTCAGCAGGTTGGAGTTAATCTGCTGTTTTCAGTGAGAATGAAATGACCCCATAGATGCATTTCGGCTCACAGATCAATGTGTTACATCTCTGAGACAAACTGAGGAAAAGTGCCATTTACACTCTAGCGAGGTTTTCACATCCTCTTATTTTTATTTTCTTTATTTTGTGTTCGTGTTAGATTATTGTCTGAGGATGAATGCGGTTCAGTTTCATCGTTTCAACAATAAAATGTTAAAATCATGAAAAAAACATTGGTTTGGTGCTTCTTGGTCTAAATAACTCAGTGTAGTCAGACTTCAGTGTATTTAGGTGAGTTTTGACGCTTTGTGGTTTGATATTGTCCACAGAAAAAGTTTGTGTGGCTGCTGCACATTTTCACCCAGCGAAAAACTCTGTGTATATTTACGCTAACTTTGACACAACGTTCATTTTTATACATGCTGACTTTTGCGTAAAATATGGGACCGCACTTTTTTTGTGCGCACGCAGCTTTATGCTGGTCAAGTGGAGGTTCTGGACCCGGCCAGCCTCAGGTGAGGTGTTTACCTGAACCGGTCTAGTAGGTAGAGCATCACTGCCACCACATGGACCGACAGACCGACTAACAGCCACAGAGTGCTCTGGAACGGCTGCATGAAGGAGTCCAGAGTGCTGCGGGGGATTTCCTGAGAGAGACAGAGACAGAGAGAGACGGTGAGAGAGAGACACACACAGAGAGACACAGAGAGACAGAGACATGTTAACACAGTGCAAGAAAACATTTCATACATGGATCCATCCTGGTTCTGATCCAGACCGGCAGCAGATGGACAGGATTCAGCCTCCTGATGAACTGTGTGTGTGTCTCTGTGTGTGTGTGTGTGTCTGTGTGTGTCTCTGTGTGTNTCAGATCCTTCGTCCTTGGTGGCTGGAGACATGGGAATGGTGCAGCAGGCTATCCTGAAAAGAAGTTCCTCAGGAAGAGGCAGGATCTTTACTGGAACAAGCTCCAGGCTGGAGAATCAAGGCAGTGCCACGTCGACATTCTCTCTTCCTGCAGTTACCTCCACACATTTGGTCATGTAAGTTATCATATATTTCCTCATAAAAGTTTTTTTTTTGTATTGGACAAATAATGTCACTGGTATCTTTTCGACAGTAGTCTGTTTTTGCTGTTTTTGAGTCTAAATGAACGGCATGTCTGTTAGGGCTGTGTTATAATATTGATTTTGCGATGTATATCGATATTTTCTTTCCTGGAAAAAAATCGATATTCATCCACAAGTATCGTAACATCCAACTGTCACCTTGCTCACTCACTGCTTGCTTCACCAGGAGAGTGATTAGGTCATCAGGCTTAGAGCGATTCCTTCAGATGTTAAGTGTCAAGGTTAAAAAGGTATCAAACTATTCAGAGCAGGGTACTTGATGCACTTTATTTACTTTACAAATGCGTGTAAGCTACAGTTTGTACTGTTTCAATTAAAAGAAACATGTTTTCTGATTCATTTTGTCCAGCTGTCGACTTTAAGTCTGTGTCCATGTCCAACCAGAGCCAGGTATTGTGTAGCTGGTGCTTTTAATCAGTTTTCAGTTAAATTAATTCAGTCCAACTCTATAACAGTCACAAAATGTCACCAAAATCACTCTGTCCCTCTAAAATTGTTCAGAAAATCGCAAAAGTGTATTGAATTGTATCGTTTGCTGAATATCGCAATATATATTGTCATGAGCAGAATATCGTGTATCGTATCGTGAGATTCTTGTATCACTACACCCCTAATCTCTGCCAATATTACTGTGAAATGATTGCAGGTTGTAAGTTAGTCTGCAAGTGTTGCAATCACACTTTGATTTTCATCATTTATGCTTTGTTGAGGTAATCTAATAGTACCTTAAGATTGACTACATTTTTGTTTAAAAAAAAATGTAAGATCTTCCACAAACATGGCAGCAAAAAATGTACCAACTGCATCTACATAGGTTCCCAAAACAATGGAGGAAGTAACTCTTTTTATAAACCACAATTTCGCAGATTGTTGCTCTTTCAAAGGGATTTCTATCAATTTTACACAGACTAGCTAATAACATCAAGTGGCATCAACATGAATGGGCAGAATATATTGATAAACTCAATATATTGAACAAAATGTAATTCATTTTGTTTGGATTTTATGTAATAGACAATCATAAAGCAGTTCATAAATGTAAAGTGGAAGAAAAGTTATAAATTGCTTTCAATTTTCAGCTTGTTACAAATGGTTATAAAAGTTTTTTCTCATAAAACTTACTTTGTCAAAGTATATCCATATGTAGTATCAATACCAGATCCAAGTTTTGTTTTTGAATTTTTTTCCCCACACCTTTAAATCTAGACTTAATGTTTATATCCTGACAAAATACGAAAAAGCCCAAGAATTATCAATATTTGTAAGGCAGTGTATCAACTTGTTTTTTGTTAGATTTGAACTTAAGTTTTCTTCTTCTTTCTCAACTTAATAAACAGAGTAAATAAAATGTGTTTGCAGGGCCAATAATACCGCAGAGCTGATTGAGGAAGCAGCCCGGGCGGCTCCCGGCTGTAACACGCTGGATTGTGCAGATTCCACCCAGGCTCTCCTTAAGACGTTCGCCTGGGTGGAAACTCCAGATGAAGACACCTGCTGCTTGATTTCCACTGAGCCGTCCAACCAGAACAGAGACGAGCAGCTGCTCAATGTGATTCAGCAGAATATTGCACCTGCGATCAAGATTACACCAGGTACTATTTAAGTTCACCTTCGCTTTTTAATTTTTTTTTTTTTTTTTTTAACTTGACCATGTTTTGTCAGCATTTGTCAAAGTTTAGGAAAACAAGTGAAAACTTAATGATATTGTGAAATATTTTGCAGACACGCCTGTACAGGATGAGAGAGCAGGTGGCAGCTGTAATGAGACGAGAAAAGATCATCGCTCACGCGCCGCGGTCCTCCAAGAGTCGAGCTTTGAGATCATTTCATTGGACAGCAGGTCATTAGAATGTGCCAATGATGCATTTACAAAAACCTATAGATTCACTCTTTGCATAAGAGAACAGTAGAAAATAAAATACAACTTTGCTTTTGAATTTAATTTTTCAGATCATCGTCTGGTTTCTCTGACAAGTTCGCTGGCCGTCTTTGTCGTGATGCTGCCCCGGTGAATGAGTCTAATTCAGCTCCTCTGTTGGACTCAGCCAGCTGCTTTGTGGACATCGACTGCAACGGAGATGCTGTGACCCGCGTTCTAGCGGAGCTGGATCTGAGCGACGACGTGGAGGTGCTCAGCATGCAAGAGTACACTGGTGATACAGCAGAACTTCTACGGACGCCTTCTCCAGGTGTGGCAGAGTCGGACCAGAAAGTGGAGGCCGCCGGTGCTGCGGTGAAGGCCGAGCTCGGTTTGAGCGAAGAGCAGGATCAGTGGGGAGCGCTCTCTTTGATTCCTAAAGGCAATAGCCAAGAGTGTGCAGAACAAGCAAATAGTTTGACCGACATGCCCGCCACATCAACACCGAAAAAACAGACGGCGAATGGACAAGTGGTGACCTCAAACATTACGCAGGTCCTAGAGGGACAATTTGTAGGAAGTGGATACCACAGAGACGGCACAAGAGTAGGTTGGTAACAAAGTTTCACTGCATGTCAGTTTTCCTTATTATGATTAACAACATAACAGCAGGACTGACGTTTACTGTCCCTCTCCTCTCCACTAGATGTGCAGTGTGACATTTGCAGGACTAACCTCTCTGATGGAAGCTTCATGTTCTGCGTGTGGATTAAAAGATCAAACCAGCAGGGGGCGCTATTGCGAACTGAGCCTTCACTTCACAACCATTCAGGAGCTAGCCCAGGAAAGGTGAGTTCCAGCTGAGAGTTTCATTTTAGTTACAAAGATACTTGGATGTCTAAGTAAAATGGAAATTTTACTTTGCCAGAAAAAAAAAAACAAAGCAAAGTCCATCGAAAATGTATAAAACGCATAATAAACATAGAATGTACACACAGAGCACTTCAAATGTTAAAACAAGACTTAAAAATGAATAATTTTCAATAAAAGTGGTGAAACTGAACAATTAATTCAGTATTTCCTTGTTTAAAAAAATATACAGCCAACAAGTTTCCTATAGAAACTTTTCATACTTGTGGAACTTTAAGTCTTCTGTCAGAAAACAGTGAGTGACGAGGAAAAGAGGAGTCATTGTAGATCCTGGTAGCTTTCTGAAACATGGTTTGTTTTATTATGTTCTGTCCATCAGAGGTCTGGCGAGGCCGGTCAAGGAGAAGCGCTGCGCTCCACTCTGGATCTGGAGCATTCTCGAGCTTGTGACGGGCAGTTTGAAGAAGAATACCAGCCAATCAAATCTGTGGGGAAAGGAGCATTTGGGTTTGTCTGGAAGGCAATAAGACGCTGTGATGGACAAGAAGTATGAATCTTTGGTTTTACGTAGAACTGTGGTAAATATGATGTAATCATAAATCTATATGTAGATTTTTTTTCCTATATGAAAAATTTCCAGGTAATTGTGAAGTTTATTAGCAAATCAAGAATAATGAGCGACTGCTGGGTAGATGACCCCATGTTGGGAAGAGTGAGCCAGGAGATTGCCATATTGACCAGAGTTCAACACCATAACATTGTCAAGGTAACGTTGATGTCACAGAACACGTAAATCAATCAGGTTCCTTTATGCATAAGGAAAAACCTCGCTGATCCCTCTTATGGGTGTATGTGTTTGTCTTTGTGTGTGTCTGCCTCCAGGTAGCAGAGGTGTTTGAGAATGGAAGCTATTTCCAGATGGTGATGGAGAAACATGGAGACGGTTTGGATCTTTTTGAATTCATAGACATGCAACCAAGACTGGACGAGCCCCTGGCCAGCTACATCTTTAGACAGGTATAAGAATGACCAGCGATGGCGATGGTGCAAGGTGAGATGAAGTGTTTTATTGATCCAAACTACTTTTTTTTTTTTTTTTTCCCCCTCAGATTGTGGCAGCTGTTTTCTACTTGAGGGCAAAGAACATCATTCACAGAGACATAAAAGATGAAAACGTCATCATTGATAAGTGCTTTCACATCCGATTGATAGATTTTGGCTCTGCAGCCATTCTGTCTCCTGGGAAGCTGTTCTATAATTTTTGCGGCACGTTGGAGTACTGCTCCCCAGAGGTGCTTCGGGGAAATGCGTGAGTGTTTCACCCTTGTGAATAATGAATCATGTGTGCTTTTTAAAAAAGGTTCCAGTTCTGCCAAAAGTTTAAAATATTTGAACACCTTTGCAAGGAGAAGTAGTATGAAATGTACATTTGTAAAACTTCTTCACATTTGACACATTGGAGCCACAAACATAGGTTTATTCAATGCAATGTAGCAGAAATATGAACACAAAAGATAAGGATGTGACCATTTTAACGCAGGCTTGTTATTTTTGCTGCTTAAGCATTTTGTTTTTACTGTTACAAAAGACAATCAATCAATATAAAAAAAATAATATTACTTAATGTATCTGCTGTGCAAAAGGAGCTTATTTGGTCATTTTAGATGGCATTTTTTTATAGCAGTGACACATTTATAGACAACGGGAAGGATTTGTTTTAAAAGATATTTGTCACTATTATGATTGTTGCAATAAATGCCACCACATTTCATCACATTTTCAGTCCATATTGCCCAACCCAAATTTAAACCCCAGATATTGTTTTCCTTCCACCTCACAATTATTTGCTGCATTTTACTGGTCTCTCACATAAATCTCAGTGAAATGCATTACACTCTGTGACAAAAAGTGAAAAATGCAAACTTTTGAAAGGTAAGAGTACTTTTTGAAGGCACCATAAGTATTTTTTTTTATTATTTTAGTTCTGCTATAAGCCTCTGCTGCATATAGTTTCTACAATATTTGTAAGTGGCAGCCCAAGAGCAAAGCAAGTGATAAAAGATAAGATCCAGAAAAGCTATTTTAATGGTATTCCACTTGGTACACAGAACCCTTTAAAATTGCACCAGGTTTTATTTTATTCCTCATTTAACTCTCAGCACCACTGAAAAGTTAAACTGTGTGGCACTTTGTGTAGTATAAGAGCTAACATACCATTTTATCAGAAAAATAATGATTAAACCACATTAGGACCTATCAAGTACCACAAAAATGATATAATTTACAGCACAGCGTATATTAAATGGTGTACTGAGGTGCTTCCTGCTTGAGAAATGTTTGTCTAAATATTAAATATAACTTCTGGCTAAACTACAACACTTAAACTCTTTCTTTGCGTAATTCAAATTGATTAGATAAGTTTGTGAATTAATTACAGAATTAGAGGTATCAGGTTAAAGGGAGTGTTCTTCTGATCATCTTTCTTTAAACATTTTGCATGTTCTATGCAAAATGTAGGTCAGCATGCAGTTAAATAAAACCCTTCATGACCCATTAAACTTTACAATGTTTGTGGAAGCCATGCAGTGTTAAGAAAACTCCCCTTGTTCAGCTAAAAGCCCTGAAGCTAAACACTGTTAATCTGATGATTGTGCTCCTGTCCCAGCTATGAGGGACCAGAGCTGGAGATGTGGTCTCTGGGGGTTTTGCTCTACACTCTGCTGTTCAGTGAGAACCCGTTCTGTGACGTGGGTGAAATCCTTGATGCCAAACTTCAGCCTCCATTCCCCCTGTCTCCAGGTACAATGATGTTCTGTGCCGCAGTTTATTAGCTCTGTCTTCTTACAAATCAGTTATGCAAATTTTCTGTTTGCCACCCCAGAGCTGCACGGTGTTTTGCAAGGCCTGCTGCACTCTAATCCCGCAAAGAGGATGACTTTAGACCAGCTTCTGTTGCAGCCGTGGATCAGCCAGCCCATTTCCCTGGCCGAATACAGCTGGACTGAGGTGGTTCCTGCATCTCGGAGCCTCTGTAAGTACTCCTCGGCATGAAGCGTAGACTTACATTGATCTGCCAACCTCTAATGTACAGAGTCATTCTCTTCTTCTACCAGGTTCGCCACAGAATCAGGAGCCAAGTCCCACTGCATACGCGGGACGGAGCTTGTTCCCAGATTGTGGCGATGAGACTCTGTCGGAGGAAGATGAGGATGAAAATCAGTCAATGGCGGCCCTGGAAACTGAGCTCCAAAAATACCTTTTGCGGGATTGAAGACTAAACCTGAAGCAGCAGAAATCTTAATAGTCTGTCTCACATTTTGTAATATGAAGATCTAAGTTACAAAACAAGAAATAAGCTTTTAGAAGGGAAATCTATTTTGTACAGGAGATCAAATTTTAAGTTTTTTTAGAGGCTTTTTTAGTAAACAATTTTTTTAAATCATTGGCTCATCGCAATTTTCCTCCAGTGATATTTTATGATCCATTATGGGGAAGAAGAAATGAACAAAAGAAGTCAAACCTTTTTGACTTATTTGATTTCATAGTCCAAAATTGGTTTAGATATATATATTTTTTCATGTTTGCAAAGAAATGCATGTAGCATTGTGTGGATAGTTTCCTAGTTTTCCATTTTTTCATTAATTTATTTTTTGAATTGCGACTTTTTAATCCGAATTTTAATCTTGATGTTTAGATATTTTTAATTGCATATAAAACATACAAACACTTTTTATATTTATTTTTAAGCATCAATAAATGTTTTTCCATAAAACACATTCCTTCTGATTTTTCATAAATTGCCTAAGTGTGCCTTAGACTCCTTATAATTCTTAACAAATCTGTCATGTTTATTTCAATAACTAACAGAATTTTGTAAAAATACCAAACAATATTAAGTGTAACTGAAGTTGTAAAGTGAATCAGAATTGATTATGAAGTGCAGGACACTGAACAATCATAAACAGCTGTTTTATAATCAGAAACTGAGTTTTATCTGGGTGTAGTGATGAAATATAATATGCAAACCTGTAAATTTTACGCTATAATTACCATAGGTATTTTCTCACCCATGCAAAACACTGCTACAAAGAAATGATGTGTCGCTTTCAGTAGTTCAGGGAATTCCAGCTGTGATGGCATACCAAATGTGCAAAAAAGTTATTTTTGTCTCCATTACATATTACTCAGTCAACCATTGGTGGGATAATAACAAACTAGAAGCAATGGGAACATTAGAAGCTCAGGAAGAGCCAGTTCATAAAACTGGCTCAGGAAAAATGTGTAGATTACTTTGCGGAATAGATTTTGATGGCCAAGCAGCTGCATCCAAGTCTTTTGTCACCAGGTACAATGCAAAGTCTCAGAAGCAGTGATATATAAAGTGCATAGTCACTGGACTTTAGAGAAGTGGAGATGTCTTCTCTGGAATGATGCCCATCTATTTAGCTATTTAATTGATGAGAGTTTGGCATTTGCTAAAAAAACAGTACTTGGCAACAACTCACCTTGGATAACACCTACTTTTCCCATCCATCCATTCATCAGTTGTCTATACCCCTTTACAGGGTTGTAAGAGTCCGGTACATTTCTCCAGCAGTCAATGGACAATAAACACGGTGCACCATGGACAGGTTGACGGTCCATCATGGAGCCATACCTCCCGTTGCCTGCAAAAGACACAAAACATCCTCAATTCATCCTATTATGCCCATCATCCATTTGCCCCCTGAAGAACCCTCCATCAAAACAAGTACCAAACTGAACTTTGAACTTATAACACACACCAAACACAACATTTTTTAAGAGGATTTGTTCTTCATTATCCACGGATTCAATATTAATTCTGTATTTTAATTTTAGAAGAACCCGGGTTCTTGAGAGCAGGTTGTGCACTAAAGAATCGAATTATTGCACAATGTGAATTAACTCACCGGAACGTTGCCTGGGCACTAGATTTCCAGTCGGACGACTAAGATCAACGTACCACCATGGGGACCCGTGTTGTTATGCTGCAGGTGAGTTGAAATGGTTTTTGACATGATGTACTTTATTATAATTTAATTTGGATTTTGGAGTATGTGATTAATTGATCCAAATAACTCAGAAGTATTGTTTAAAAGTCCTTAAAGCTCCGACATGCAGCTAATGAAATTGCTATAACCTTCGCACGTTTTATTTTTTCCTCCACAGGTTCTTCGACAAAAACTAAACTATGTTCCCTCCTACACTTCCATCCCAGTCCAGTTTAAGACGCTTAAAACATCTAATCTACCTTTGAGCCTCAGCTGCAGACTACTTTGCTCCGTTTCAGATCAGACCTCCTCCCTATTGCAACGCAACAAAAGAAACTCTCCCGAGCTGTCTCTGAGATCTTTTCTTGACATGGGATTCACAGAGTACCAGGCAGAACAATTGCATGACAGTGTGTCCAGGTTGAAAGGGGGGAATGCTGCCAAACACGTCTTATCAACGCTGTCAGTACTGTTTGTCCTGGGGTTCAACCCCACCACTGTGCATAAACTTCTGGACAAATGTCCAGAGCTCTATAAGGTCAAGGAAATGCAGCTTCAGCAACGGATAAGCCACCTGCGGCAGCTGGGTTTTGTTGAAGGTGAGATTATTTTTGATCAAATATGGGTAAATATTCAAATGATTAACTGTAAAATAAATAAATACATACATACTACTTGAACTATGTTGTAATGGTGTATTACATCAAATCTTTTAAAAAAAAAAATACATTGAAGTTTGTGATCATAATATGGTACAAATGTGAAAAAATTCAAGAGATTTATATAAAGCACTTTGAATTGCCTTGTTGCTGAAAATGTGGTCTAGAAATAAAATTACCTCACCTTACCTTACCCTATATATATTTACAAGGTTTGGTACTTATAAACCGAAATGTCTCGTCGTCTCTCCTGTAGGGAGTCTTCAGAGAACCGTGTCCTACTATCCAAAGATCTTAACCGTGCCGGTGAAGTCTGTAAAATCTGTGGTGCAGTTCCTCAGAGAGAAGTGTCTGTTTACCACCCAGCAGGTGGCAGAAATCCTCAGAGATAGTCCTGCAGTGGTGTTGCAGGACCTGGACCAGCTAGAGTACAAGTTTCAGGTCAGTAAGTAAAGAAGTGAAACAAATGGGGTTAATATTGTAAAGATCTCTAAAAAGAACTTACTTCAGCAGCCCACTTTCTGTTAAGACCACACCCACCTACTACCAACCTTGATCCCAATTTCTCTTACAGATTGTCCAAGTTTGATTATTAGTGTATTTAACAGCCCGCTTTCATACACAACAGACAAAACTGTTGGTAACTTTTTATTAATGGTCTCTGTTATTGAACAAAAAGGCCACAACACTCACTGAAATAACTAGAAACTAACAAAAATAATACATGTAAATGTCAATTTTAGGTGTGGTAAAAACCATGTCACCAAACAGCACAGATGCTACTTGTCATCCTTTAAATAGGCAGACTGACCGATTAGAGTCGGTCTGCCTGACTCTAAGCTTATTTGATTACTATATAATCAAATAAGCAAGCTACTAATAATAAGGGTTGTACCACGCTCATCGAATTACTTTATATACTGTAGATATATTTCAATTAACATGTAATAAGAAATAATTTTCAATTTCTTTTTACAAGTACAATCATTTTTGTCTAGGTCTGTTTTATTGGTTTATGTTTTTAAATTATTCTTTTGAACCACAATTCAAAAATAATGTCTGATTTTCATTGGTTAATACCATACAATGGTACCATGTCTGTGCATAATAATAGAGGTTCTCTTTATTATGCTTAATAAAGAGATGGCACTGTGTATTTACCAGACTCATGGTGCCATTTTATAGCATAATCAAGTAACTATGTTACCTTTAGTTGTTATAAAAAATATTGTATATATCAGCCATAACTTAGAAGAATTTGACATCATAATTTGAGCTCTTGAAATTGGTCTCTGTGTCATTAAGAAGCTCCTGCTCTTTCTGTTATGTCATTTAAAATAGGAATGCTGAACTGAGACGTGGCTTGTGTGATAAGATCAGCAGATGCACAGTTTCACCAGGTGTTTGCTAATTGCTACTGCTGCTCGTCCAGAGGAGTTCAGTGGAGAAGTGCAGGGGGCAGAGTGCTCGGTGGCAGGAGGAGCTTTGTGGAAATAGGCAGCGCTTTGTGAAAGCAAATATTTAGGCACAAGTGAATAGATGCCGCAAGAGATTTAAGCTTTTCGCAAGAAAGAATCAAAGCAACACTCAAGCTCAAAAGTCGATTTTACGACCTGTCCCCTCTCCCGTTAACTTTCAGTAAAATGCTTTTGTTAGTTTCAAGTAATTTCAGTGGTCATTGAGGGTTTTTTGGCCAATAACAGAGGGGCACCAAAAATTTTGCCCAGGCCTGTATGTTGCACTTTGTCTTAACCCACATCTTTGATGCAACAGTGGTGGCTCCCCCTGGTGGCTACAATGTTGTTTTTTGGATTGCTGTGAAGTGACTTCTCTACATGGCAATATTGCATGGTTAATAGCAGCCTTTTACTATATAATCAAATAAGCAAGCTACTAATAATAAGGGTTGTACCACACTCATCGAATTACTTTATATACTGTAGATATATTTCATGTATTCTCTGATTATTATTATTTTTTTATTTGTTTCTTGTTCTTCCTAACTGCATCCATCAAATACTCTCTCCACAGTACGTTTACTTCAGAATGGGTGTCAAACAAGCCGAGATGGTGAAGTGTAGGTTGTTTCGTTTCAGCCTAGACGATGTGCGCTGTCGGCATACATTCCTGGAGCGGCGAGGCTTGTACCAGACCCCAGACAAGAAAGGACAGACTACTTTGATTAACCCCAAACTGGACAGAATCCTTAATGTGGACGAGGGGACGTTCATCGCAGATGTTGCCCAGGCGTCGCCTGAGGAGTATGATGTGTTTCAGAAACTCTTGGCAAGAGAGTGGAAGGAGGAAGATTTCGAGTATGGCAGCATTGAATCGTATAGTGACGATGAGGAGGAGGAGGAGGATGATGAAGAGGAGGAGGAATCCAGAGGGAAAAGTGGATACAATAAGAAGACGAAAAAATAATGAATTAAAGGGAAGCGTGAGAAGAATAAATGGCAGTTATCAGTAAATTCATGCATCTAATTTAATAAATGAAATCCTTTAGTTTTTATTGCCTCTTCTGTCTCTTCATACCATCAAAGAGTATTATTATAACCAAACATGGATTTGTTGTTCCTCAGTCTGCTGATGAGGAACTAATTTTTGTATTTGTTTAGGTGGCGTCATTAGGCTGAAGTGTGATAACGTCAGGGTGACCTTAATTCACTTACAAAGCATCAGATGTGGATGGTGCAATTTGCTGTCTTTTGATCTTTAATTAAACCAAAGTGGATTTTTGCTATTCTGCAATGAAATAATGTAAAAAAAAAAAAAAAAAAAAGGTACAAATCAGATTAAAAGCTTAAAGATGAGAAGGGAAAAAAAGGGGGGAAAAACAGCATAAGCAATAGTTAAAAGCATAAAAAGCTCCATCCTGTTACTATGTCACCAACAAGTGGCCGTGGCTTTTTGCATCTCTCATCACTGAGTCAACAAAGAATCTATGAGATAGAGGCAGCGTGTGAGAGACATTGTACGATGGACTATCATTGATTTGTGCAGCACAAGCAGCATTTTCTCTTAGAAATAAGGTAAGATACCTTCATTCAATCAATAAAATATCATGGTTTGTTATTGCCAGGACTGAATTTTATCCAGTTCAGTTTGTGTCAAATCTATCTGTGCTGTGGTGGTATTTATACTCTTTGAACCTTTAAAATGTATTCATCATAAGTATTGCCCTATTAAATAAATTACTTAAGCAGTAATTGAAATCAACTTAATTATGCTTTAATTTTTAAGAACCTTTTTTATGGTTTTGTTTTCTTTCTATTTTAAAAGTAGAGTCACTAATAATCAACCTAGAATTGTATGCTGGCAGGAAGTTTGGATTGCTCATTTCCATATTCATCCGTGCCAACGTGGTGAAATATTTAAAGTTATGTAACCTACTTCAACCATTAAGCTTCCATTGCTGCAAAATTGTATTAACATCATTCAGGAAACAGGTCATGAGTGAGACAGGAGAATTTTATAGATCCCACCTGATGAAGTTCATCTGCAATATCAATATCACAAGATAGCTGTATTTTCTGAAGTGCAGGTGTGAATAATACACATTTTATCCTAAAATGAGAGTAAGTGTTCAAGTTTTACTAGTTGTGTATTGTTTCCACTTTATGTTACTTTTTATAAAACAAGATTTACCAGTTCAGTATGCATCAGTCAGAACTTCATACTCGTATAGAGGCTGCATGTCTGTGTGTTGCTTGTATTACAGAGATTATTCAGTGCAGTCAGAATATCTTAGTTATTATACTACAGATTGCAGAAATATGTCTTATATTCATAAAATGTCTCATTAGTTGGATATCCAAATACTGTATATAGTTGGATAGATTGTAACTTTATTAACCTTTGTTCCCACACAGCAGTCTTAGATATACTGTACATCAAATACTTAAAAAACATAAAATTACAAAATAAAAGAAGATTGACATCAACTCCCCAATCATATAATATGCTGTAGCAAAATTTGTGATGTTAGTCATTTAGAGTATTTTAGTTTGAGGTCAGATGCTCTTCTTTTTTGCTGGTAAGACTTGGCTTAAACAATTCTTCTAATGTTCATCTAAGCACCCTTTTTAGATGTCAAAAATATAAAATATTTAAACCAAATGTTTACATAGACCAGGAGTATCAAACTCATTTTGATTTGGGGCCAGATTCAGATCATGAATGCTCTCAAAGGCCGTGTTATGGCAGAAAGCATTGATAAAACTACCCATTAACAAATAGTTAAAATATGAATAAATATCTTTCACTGCATTCGATGAGTTAAAATTAAATATTGAACATCTTTTCACGTTGATGTAATTTGCCAGTGTGTAGATGAAAACGGCATACCACAAAAATAGAGTAGATATGACAAGATAGTTATATTTTCTGAAGTATAAGTGTAAACAACATTGACGTTCTATTTACATGTTCCTCTAGATCAGGGGTGCCCAATAATACGTCGATCGCAATCGACCGGTCGATCGCGTAAAGGTTTTGAGTCGATCTCGGCAGGTGACAAACTGAACGCCGCCAGGACGCTGAGACCAGCACTTCCTCTTCTGACAGGCTTATCAAAAAATATTCACTAAGATCCTAAACGTTTGTAGCTTCATTAAAAAAGAATGTTATAAAAAAAAAAATCAACGTAGCGTGTTAAAATGAATAATCTCAGTAATTATTATTTCAACAAAGTGTTGCGCAATTCTATGCGTTTCGGTTTCATTAACAAAGAAAAAAAAATGGCGACTCAAAGACCGACTGACGAGCAGAGCAGGACTTTAAATTATCTACTCAACCACCGCTGTGTTCATGAGAGGCTTATTAATAATCTAGAAATAAATATTAAGCCTGGAAACCTGATATCGTAACGGACTGAATGTTATGTTTTTAACGTAATCTCTGCTCGGCTTGCGGGGCGCAGGCGGTTGCCACGGCAACGGGTGTGCTTAAACGTCAAAGAGACGGAGAGTAAAAAGGTAGGAGTGGTTTTGAGTTGATCGTCTGTTCGGGTTGTTTCACCTTTGTTTACATTTGCTGTGGCTCATTACAGCCGCTGTAGTTTCTGAACATTCAATAAACGACAAACTTGGACTAATTACCTCGTTCATTTGCGAGTATACAGGTCCTTCTAAAAAAAAATTAGCATATTGTAATAAAGTTCATTATTTTCCATAATGTAATGATAAAAATTAAACTGTCAGATATTTTAGATTCGTTGCACACCAAATGAAATATTTCAGGTCTGTTATTGTTTTAATACTGATGATTTTGGCATACAGTTCATGAAAACCCAAAATCCCTGTCTCAAAAAATTTGCATATTTCATCAGACCAATAAAAGAAAAGTGTTTTAATACCAAAAAAAGTCAACCTTCAAATAATTATGTTCAGTTATGCTCTCAATACTTGGTCAGGAATCCTTTTGCAGAAATGACTGCTTCAATGCGGCGTGGCATGGAGGCAATCAGCTTGTGGCTCTGCTGAGGTGTTATGGAGGCCCAGGATGCTTCGATAGCGGCTTGAAGCTCATCCAGAGTTTTGGGTCTTGCGTCTCTCAACGTTCTCTTCACAATATCCCACATAATCTCTATGGGGTTCAGGTCAGGAGAGTTGGCAGGCCAATTGAGCACAGTAACACCATGGTCAGTAATACCAGTGGTTTTGGCCCTGTGAGCAGGTGCCAGGTGATGCTGAAAAATGAAATCTTCATCTCCATAAAGCTTTTCAGCAGATGGAAGCATGAAGTGCTCCAAAATCTTCTGATAGCTGCTGCATTGATCCTGCCCTTGATAAAACACAGTGGACCAACACCAGCAGCTGACATGGCACCCAGACCGTCACTGACTGTGGGTACTTGACACTGGACTTCTGGCATTTTGGCATTTCCTTCTCCCCAGTCTTCCTCCAGACTCAGGCACCTTAATTTCCAAATGACATGCAAAATTTGCTTTCATCTGAAAAAAGTACCTTGGACCACTAAGCAACAGTCCAGTGCTGCTTCTCTGTAGCCCAGGTCAGCTTCTGCCACTGTTTCTGGTTCAAAAG